GAGAAGCGACAGTGCTTTGTTGAAGGGCCGGAGAGATAGGAGTGGGGTAACCGATGCAGTGCTGCGATGTGTTGGGGCAGTATCTGACTCCAGCCTTATTAAGTGACAAGAAATTGTCACTTGGTAGGGCTTGGGTGTTTCTAACCAGACGGTTAGGTGGGGAGAAGGATGATTGGAGGATCAGACGGAAAGGAGTGGAAGGATGGTTATGTGAGAAAAGGATGGTTGGAGAATCGGGCGGAAAGGAATAGATGGGAGATGCTATGGTGATTGCAAGTCAACATATCATGCAAACATGCAAGTCAACGTAAATCAAACATATCATGCAAACATGCAAGTCAACATAAATCAAACATACCATGCAAGCATGCAAGTCAACATAAATCAAACATACCATGCAAGCATGCAAGTCAACATAAATCAAACATACCATGCAAACATACAAGTCAACATAAATCAAACATACCATGCAAACATGCAAGTCAACATAAATCAAACATACCATGCAAACATGCAAGTCAACGAAAAATCAAACATACCATGCAAACATGCAAGTCAACATAAATCAAACATACCATGCAAACATACAAGTCAACAAATCAAAGGATCACATACATCCTATATGCCATGCAAATATGCAAGTCAATAAAATCAAAAGACATTTTAACTTATTAAAACATTAATTCAAATCAATTAACAGACATTATTAAAAATAAGCATTAATTGCTTATAAATATTCATTGCACTAAATTCATTGTGCATTTTTTTATATATATAAAATTAAAATCTTTTAATTAGACTTGCATTAGATTAAATAAACATTATGCAATCATCATAGAGTAATATAGTATATAAAAATCATTGTAAATATAATTATAATTTATAGTAATATTATTTGTAATATAAAAAAAATTGTAATATTTAAATTTATGTTAATAAAAAAAAAAATGAAAAGTATTTTAAATTTTAGTGAAAACGTGTTAAGCTGTGTGTCTGGTCAGCGAGGTAACAGTATGTATTAACTGCTTTGAGCGCCATATAGCACATATAATGAGTAATATAGTGGCGCTTGTTTAGAACAAGTTGTGTGATATGAAAATTTGTATTTAGGTTTGGAAATCTCGGGATTTCAGGCATTCGGGTTTTTGGGTGAGATTTTGTACTTGAAATTAACTGAAAACGGAGATGTTATATTCTTGGTTCCGTTATTAAAATGGCATGGAAACTCGAGAAGGCAGGAAGTAAGGTAGAAACAGATAAATATTGTAAGCAGTAGAGTAATCTTAATGCTATGATCTGTTGAGATTAAGCCTTTGTTTTACAGATTTGTTAATTTTCCCGTCCTTTCAAAAGGGCGTGGGGCGCCGTTAGAAACGCTGGACAATGTAGTGGATTTGTTATTACAGTGACGGGAATTTATATCATTTTCCAAAAGAATGTACAACCTAGTAGTCGCACAAGATTATAATTTTTTATGCGAAATAATAGTAATTTTATGTTCCCATTTAATTCCATTATCATAACAATGGATAACTTTATTTAAACATAAATTTCTTGAGAAATGGTTCACTTATTTAGATGAAAGTTTTCCAGAAATTATTTATAATCCCGAGTATCGTAAGGAAAATATAAATCATACGTCTACTAAGGATTCAATTAAAAATGGTTCCAACTGCAGAATTATAGAGAGTTAAACATTTTTAACCTTACAACATCATTTGAAACCTGACAGTAGTTTCCTCCAAAGTAATGGAAGAACTCGCCCATTGACTGAACAAATAAGACCAAACCTTAACAGGTCTCAGATAATTAAAGTTCATAATAATTTTTTACTATTAAAAAGATATTATTATTAAAGTCCTTCGATTCTGTGATGATCTAATAAAAAAATTGCAGGCTAGAAGTAATGCAGAGAGTTTACCACAGTAACGCCTCTAGTATTAATTATTAACTTTTTACAATAGATTTTTATTTTCAATAACATCCGTCATTTTTTCATGAACTGCTAGGTTTCGGGCATGCCCCTAAATAGGTTGCGCACAGTCAAAAACGTTATCATAATACATATTTAGAATACGTAAATATAGCGGCCCGCAAGCAGAGCCCTCAGCCCGCATAGAGTCAAGCTATAGGGAGCATCTCAAACTGGGAAGAACGTGCACTGTCGAAACAGTGGCCACGATGCGCTTTCGATTCCCAGAACCAATGTTGCAGCATAGTTTCAAATACACAACGACTCGCCATAACACAACGAACCCAACAATATACAGTTGAGACCGAGATTCCAGCTACCCGAGGTGGGCTGGGATCTACCTTAATCTGGATATTCAATTAGACACATGACGGATACACAACCGCAAGCGTGCCTATATATTAAATGTAAAAAATTTGAATTGATAAGCAAATGTTATCATTGCTATTAAGGTTAAAACTTCCCGGAGTCGAGTCGAGCTTGGGCGTGCCACCGAATCGAACGCGGGTCAGCTTCTCCATGCATCCTATTCACCATTTCATCCGATAGATAGACAAGAAAAGGATGTTCACAGGGTTACTCGACGATGCGCTTCTCATTATATACAAACTACTAGTGGCAGCGTAACTTCAGATATATATGATTAAACAAATCTTAGTTAATTAATGTCTCACCTATTCTGTAAGCCCTTCAACTCTTAGTTAGATGTACTATTCTTCAAAATACACTGCAAAACGCTTTCAGTGCATCTGCAAACTCATACCTCACTGACCAGTCAGCTCACCGCCCAGTCAGACTCAGATATAGCAGCTGAACACCTATTGACAACGTCATTTCACACATATAATACTCCTCGGACTTAGTGAGAAAATACTCACTTTTCCAATTTTTCTCTTTCTCCAGCCTTTTTAGTTAGGCACCTTCTCACAGAAGGTAGTGAATGTCCTACTCATCGCATTCACCCATGATCGCATCCGCACTATCATGATACAAAGGCGTTTTGGTCTTGCGTGTTTGTGTTTTTAATTAAATGCTTGCTTATTTGTTAACCAACCACGATTACCACACGTAAGATGTGAATCTTATTCTCTTAGCTTCGTTCGTTTTTATTATCAATAATTGAAACTCAGTCAATAATTACGACGATGTCATAGTGCTTATATGATAATTAAATTTAGAAAATTCGGTAACCTTGGGACGCGATATCTTGACGTCCAATAGTCCAATTTGGATGAAAATAGAACCATCCGATTTGTCTAGATTAGATAAATCGAATGGTCCTATTTTTGTTCAAATTGGACCGTTGGACGTTGAAATATTGTGTCCCAAGTTTACCAACTTTTTTTGATTTTTAATAAAACATATAAGTTATTCTCTTAAAATATAAAAAATTTAATTTTCAATATCAGCCTCTGAAGAGAAGCTTATATGCACGCGTTTATTCTACAGTGACGTCCGAAATGAAATCAGCACGTCAACTTTCCCAAAAGGTTATCGGATTCAAATTTGCAATGTCACGAATATTAAAATATAATAAAGTTTATTTGAATCCAGTAAAAGAAGAGCTATCAATATATATTTAGTTGGATAGACTTTTGCCATTTTAACAGTATTAACTCTACGAGGCATGTTATCAACTAATTTATTTAAAGTTTCAGGCACAATTTAAATTCCATTTTTAGGATGTTTGTGCCGTCTCTACAAAACATCCCAGAGATGATTAATTGGATTAAGATTGGGGTAAAATATAACGATAAATATTTTTTTGAGGGGATTATTTCGGGGAATTGTATGCTCCATGGCTTCTACGGAACAGATATACCGATACTCGTTATAATGATGCCAAAATTTCTTTCGATATAATGATTTTATAATAAATTCTCGATATAACGATATTTGCATTATTTTTAAATTTAACTGGGGACTAATTCATTTTTAATATGCGATGAAATACTTTTATAAATTACACTGACTGATAGAATGCAAGATATTCACCTTCAAAATAATAAAAGTTTAAAAAATATTTCGATTTCTGTTACTTTGGATCGATCCAACAGCATGAATAATTTTTACTTTAGATCAAGAAACGTGCGTAGTAAAGTCTATTATAGAGTAGCCAAAATTCGCAATATAAAAATGCTCTCTTTTCTTCTTGCTTCTACATCGATAGATAATCGAATTTACAACATAATTACTTTTCTCTATACCATTAATAAACATGACCAACCTATTCTTCCGTTATACCCCAACCTCTTTAACTGATTGGACTCCCGACCACATCCGCACTATCTTCACCACGCTCCTCATTGCCGAACTGTTTCATGTTCTCGCACACATTAAGGTGCTCTTGAGTCTTGACTGGATAGGTGGTAGATACACTGCACTAGAACTCTGGTCGCGTTGGTACTACTTTGTCATGGATTTGATGTCGGTCGTTGTATCTTTTGTGGCAGTTCATCTTTACCTTAAAAATCATTGTTACGATGATGCAAAAATCAAAATGTTTTATGATGCGACTACGGTATTTGTGATGGGTCATTTTTTACTTCATTTATTTTATATTAGTGGGTGGTTTAAAGGAAGACGAGAGTGGCTGAAAGAGAATCAACTGAAGGCTGAGAAAGAAAAGGGTAATACGAAGTCGGTCTTTCTTGGTGCCCCGTATGTCGAGAAGGTATTGATTTGGTCAGCGGCTGACAGCTGGGAGGTAATTGCATTAATTTCATTCATCAATTTAATAGAATTCTATTTGTTCGTTCCGTTCCTTTATTCGAGTCCAAATATACGATCAAAAAATATAGGCCAAAAAAGCTTGCGAATATCATTGGCGCCAAACCATCGGAACTTCCTATGATATTTTTGTTCACTTGGTAATGATCGCTTGGCATGGTTGGGTTTTATTATATCTCTAAAAACTTTCTTAAGACTACCACCACATTATACATTATGATTCTATTAATTCTTGAAAAAAGGATTCAATTGGAACATTATTAATTCGATTAGAAAATAAAATCAAATAACTTTGCAATACATGTACTAAAATCAAGAGAAAATTTCGTTAGCGAAAATTTCGATTTTCAACATACATTCAAGAAGATCAGTAAATTTGATTTCTCGTGTGTAAATATTTTTCAATGCAGTGTTAAATTACGCGAAACTTAAATGTAACCTTCTATTTTTACAAGATGCGATATAATAAACACAAAGTGTACAATAGATTTTAAGTTTAGCCACACAACATTGATGACACTTAGCTTATAATTTTTATTTAAATAAGAATGTGGATGTCTCGTCTAAGACATTTATCTTTTTGTTTAATAATTAAGCGGCTAATATTAAAAACTTTAAATCAGTAGTAACATTGCATCAATATCATGGGCGGAGCAGAAATTACGATCAAAGTCAAATACACAAATTCGGAAAGCGGTGATATAGAGAATCGTAAATTGATTGTATCGCAATCTATTACATGGCCTGAAATCGAAGAACAGGTAAAATGAATTAAATTTGAAGACGACTTCGTTAATATCCTAATTGACGGCTGATACATATATGAAATTATAGCTTCGTGAGATGTTTAGCATCCCAACAAACAATAAAATCGGCCTAAGTTATACCGATGAAGAGGATGACTTGATTGTAATCTCGTCAAATGGTGAATTAATTTCTGCTTTGGAGGGTAATCATAGCTCAATTGTGAGATTTGAATTGGTGGTTAAACAACAGAGCACGGAAAAGAGCGAAGCGTTTAAATTTGGAAAGGTGAACATAAATGACTTTGTATTTGAGGGCAGTTATTTATTTACTTGCTAACTTGGAATGCGGGATTAATAAATAAATAAATAAATAGGTGGATACAGATGACGAAATTATCAAAACCACGGAATCAATACTACATACTTGGTTCAACGAAAATTTGCCGACTATCATCGAGAAAGTCACCAATGAAGTTATTACAAGTAACAAAATAATTTAGAGTGTCGTTTCTTTTATTTTAATCTTAAACTCATTATTTATATTGCGTAAAACCTCGTAGAAATAGATCGTCAACGCCAACAAGATGCTGCAAATCCAACCGCTTTTACCAAAGCCGAACCAAAAGTTTTCATTTATCCGTCACGAAAAATAGCTGGTAGTGACGGCGAGGCTGTGGAAGTACGCATTCCAGCCGATTATCTGACTTTTACGCATGTTTCTACGAAAACAATTTGGGGAACTGGGATTTATACCGCGGACTCGGATGTTGTTAAAGGTTTGTTCGATCATTTGGTCAAAATTAAAAGTAGTAAATTAATCTCGAATCAGAAGTTATTGATAATATTAAAAATGTGCAGCACTTGGCCACTCTGGATCCTATACACTCCCGAAACAAACACCTCCGCATGATCTGGCAGTGATTCTACGCTTTCTACCGGGCTGCAAACAGTATTTTGGAAGTACTAACAATGGGCTACGTTCCGAAGATGTAGCAAGGTATAAATCTAGTTTTGTGATCGAAAAGGTTAAAGAGATTCCGGTAAAGTTGAATTTTTTTTATTTCTTATAAAATTGGCAAAATTTAGAATCGTTAATTTTTTTAAATTTTTCTTTGAATTTTGTAGAAAGGAAGTGCTGTTTGAGAAGATTTAATAATTTTTACCGTATACGTATCAGTTTTTGAGATAGTATTTCTTTGGACGAAGATGAATAATTTAATTTTTACTTTTTTATACATAATTTGTGACTTTAGAAATAACTCATTCAAATTAACGTGTTTCCCACGATTAACTTATGCGCCAAATAGGGAAAATACACACACACACATTAAACATATATTGAAGGGAAATAGTACTCTAAATGTCTTTTAATGCAAAACAATACGAGTTTTAATATAAGAAATGAATTACTAGTTAATTACAGGCATTAATTAAAATACATTCATCTTCTAGATAATTTACATGCATACACACAGACATATTGATACATGTATATGTTTACGTGTGTGCACATCCATTGAATTTTAATCAAGAGAAAAAGGCAAGTTAAACTTTTATTTCTACCATGTTCTCAAGAATAATACTAGATAGATTGACACTGATTGTCCAAACTCGTGTTTTTTTCCGAGAGCAAGAAAAAGAGAAAAAGTAAAATATCGACTAAATGTTTGTAAATAATCTGTGCACATATAAATATGCGTTGGTAAAAAATTAATAAACCTTGATCCGATTTGATCGTGCGCGCTATTACAAATTTTACAAAAATTACTTTGCACTAAACCAAATAGTTTAAATAAAATATTTAATAGTGTAAAAATAAAAAGAAGATATATATATATATATACACATACATACACACATACATACATATAACAAGACACACGTACACGACAAGAGGAAGTTAAACGACAGAAAGTGCTTTGTAGTAGTGTTTAATTTATTATCATTTTTGCATTCTTTGAGAGGAGAGATTGTGTTTTGGAAAGTTTCCGACGACGACAGCACACACGACTATCGTATTGTGTATGCGTAGTAGGTTGGTCATATAACTCTAACTATCTATCGTCCTGTATGCCCCTTCCTTTTCACTCCCATTCTTTACTTTGTTTTCTATTTTGGTCGGGCATATATATAAATATTCGCTGGATATTCCATTCCATATGACTGCAATGTCCTTTTTTCAAAAGCTATCAGTCAGGATATCGCCCAAGCCTAAAGGTAGCAACAGTAATCGTACATATTCGGACAGCATCTCGACATCGTCCATAGAAAATAACACCGACACCGACAATAATAATAACAACAACAATAATAATAATAATAATAGTCCTGCTACAAAGATTATATTGCAAAATAAAAATCCCATTAATAGTGAAAATATTAATAAAAAGAAATCATCAACTCATAACACTACTATTATCAATACCCATCCACACCAAACTTCCAGTATGCTAGAAGAGAGTAACATGACGTCACCACCATCCTTACCAGTAAACGAAAAAGTCACATTCACCTCTAATAATGGTCTCTCACGAAACTCCCGACATCCTTTGGACACATCGACGACGACGGCGGCAACGGCGACGACAAGTACCAACAACTTAAAGCTATCGCTCGACAATTTTGATTTACGCCGAACGCTTGGAACCGGATCTTTTGGACGCGTTCATTTGGCTCAATCGAAACACAATCGAAAATTTTATGCAATGAAAGTACTCAAAAAATCCGAGGTTGTTCGTCTAAAACAGGTCGAGCATACAAACAATGAAAAACGCATTTTGGAACAGATAAATCATCCGTTCATGGTGAAATTATGGGGCACATTTCAGGACTCGGCAAATTTGTATATGGTTATGGATTATGTGGTCGGAGGTGAACTTTTTAGTGTGCTTAGAAAAACGCAGGTATTTTTTGATGAGCATCTATTCAAATTTAATAAGAGATTTTTCTAAATCAATATTCGCTTGATTTTATTGAAATCAGAGATTTCCAGATCATGTAGCGAAATTTTATGCAGCAGAAGTATTGCTCGCATTTGAATATCTACATTCAAAAGACGTCATTTATCGAGATCTCAAACCCGAAAATTTACTGTTAGATCGTAACGGTCACATAAAAATCACCGATTTTGGATTCGCAAAATACGTGCCGGACGTAACATGGACACTATGCGGGACTCCAGATTATCTCGCGCCCGAAGTAATCCAATCAAAAGGATATAGCAAAGCGGTCGACTGGTATTCCCTAGGTGTACTAATTTTTGAAATGCTTGCCGGTTATCCGCCATTCTACGACGAGGATCACATGCGTCTTTACGAAAAAATTGTGGCAGGTCGTGTAAGATACCCAGGCTTTTTCGATCCGGTTGTCAAAGATTTGCTTAAACGATTATTAACGGCCGACCTGAGTAAGCGTTATGGTAATTTGAAAGGTGGTAGTGAGGATATTAAGCAGCATAATTGGTTTAAAGGCGTTGATTGGGAGAGATTGTGTCGACTAGAGATTGAGGCACCGTATATTCCTCAGGTGAGCGGAGATGGAGATGCTAGTAATTTTGACATGTATCCTGAGGAACAAGAACCTTATGGGAAACCATGTTCTGATATACATCGCGACAAGTTTCCGTCATTTTAATTACCGAAGTGGAGAACGATTACGACGATGCCGGCGATTTTTCAAAAATTCAAAAAACCCAAGAAATTTTTGTTTTTATTTATTCTTATTTAATTTACTAATTAATTTTTTTCCTTTTGGAGAGATTCATCAAACGGACATTTTTTTCAGGATATTCAAGATTAGATTTTTTTCCTTTACCTTTCACAACAAAATTTCAAAATTTAATTTGATTCGATTTTCGTAAATAGATTAGACATATTTTTTCTTATTATTATTAGTAATAAATAGAGGCGCTAATGAGAATCAGGTGGACATCTATTTTATACTCCAATTTTGAAGACCAAGATGAGTATTTTTGGGAATTCTTTATTAGTTTGGCTTGCTTGTAAGTAATATTGGGTTGAGATTCTTTATTTTGTACAGTTTTTGTTTTTAATAAATTAGTATTCTATTCCTAAAGCACAATACTTGATCATTTAAATTAGTGAGAAAATTATTAAAAAATGTTTAATAAATATTTCAATAGTAAATTTTATTGATAGAATGATAAAGCAATACTTCTAATTTATGGAATGAAGTCATAAAAAAATTAATACCATAATTCAGAATCGCATACATATTTAAAATAAACCGAGGACTCTTCCAGACTCAAAGTCAAGATCGACATCAAAGAAACAAGGGCGCTACAATACAAAAAAACCAATAAATAAACATATATAATCAAAGGGGGAATATTTTGGTTTTTCTCCTACCGTAGGTAATCCAGGCATCGTTTGCATCTCACCTAACAGCGGATACAAGAATCCAGCACCGACAGAAGCACGTATGTCACGAACAGTCACCGTAAATCCAGTAGGCACACCTTTTAGCTTTGGATCATGAGATAAAGAAAGATGTGTTTTGGCCATACATATAGGCAGATTTGCAAAGCCCTAAATTTTTTGAAAAAATTTAACACACACAACTCAATAAACAACATTCCATTCTGAATAGTCATACTTAACACAGAGGCCGAATAACATTAAAAATCCTCACCTGCTTTGTATATATCTCAACTTTTTCTTTAGCTCTATCACTTAAACTGATATCACTTCCACCATACATTTCTTTAGCGATAATCTCAATTTTTTCAACAATACTTTTATCGAGCTCGTATAAAAATTTAAAATCCTTTTGGGGTTTTGACGTGGCTCGTATAATGGCTTTCGCAAGTTCAGTTGCACCTGCACCACCATTAGCCCAATGTGAGGCTGGAACGGCGTCATCAGCACCGGCTTCAATGGCTATTTTGCGAACGAGGGCTAATTCGGCCTCGGTGTCTGTCCTAGATTGTTATTGACATGAATTTTCGAAAAATGTAATTTATTGACTAATATTCTACAATAGCTTACGTGAATTGATTAATGGCCACCACCACAGGTAACATAAATTTTTTAGCGTTTTGTATATGCTTGATAAGATTCGCACATCCTTTTTCCAAAAGTTCCAAATTTTCTTCTAAGTATTCTGCGGCAAGGGGGTTTCCAGGTGTCACCTATCCAAAAGTATATATATAGATAACAAATTCTCATACTGCCTAAGAATGATAATGATAAAAAGCTCACTTCTGGACCTCCGCCGTGCATCTTCAATGCTCTCAAAGTAGCAACCAAAACCACAGCATCAGGAACCAACCCTGACATCCGACATTTTATATTGAAAAATTTTTCCATGCCAATATCAGCGCCGAACCCAGCTTCGGTAATAACAAATCCGGTTTCAGTTTCCTCATCCCCTTCTTCAATACCCGCAAGTTTCAAAGCTATTTTATCCGCCAGAATCGACGAATTCCCATGAGCAATATTCGCAAATGGACCAGCATGTACAAATACAGGCGTGCCTTCCAGTGTTTGCATAAGATTCGGTTTTATCGCGTCTTTTAATAAGACCGTTAGTGCACCACCAACACCCAGATCATCAGCGGTTATCGGAACACCGTGCTTGCTGGTTGCCACCACCATTCGACCAAGTCTCTCGCGCATGTCTCTAAGGTCAGTAGTTAACGCGAGAATTGCCATGCATTCACTTGCGACGGAAATATCAAATCCTGTTACGCGAGTAAAATTTTTTTCTGTTGAGTTTTGTCCGATGGTTATTCGTCGAAGGAAACGATCGCTGGTGTCCATGACACGTTGCCTTAATTTTTTTATAAGATTTTGTACGAATAATAGGAGAAAAAAATAAGGAAATGTTGAAATCTCTCTTGTTATTGCTGTTAAATCATTTTTAACGAACCATGTTATAGTGTCCGGATCGATATTTAAGCGGACGAATTTGGTTATTTCTTCAGAAGTCAAGTCATCGGGATTTGTTTTGTTTATGCCAAGTTTTTGTAGTCGTTTCAACATGACGGGGGCAAATGTTCTTTTCCCTTTTTTAACAGGGCAAATTCTATTGAACAACGCCTTGAATATCCAAATAAAAAGGAGGAAAACATTAAACAATCATCGTCAAATAGAATAAAAATAAATAAAATGATCGTGGTTTCTTATTTATACCTTGTCAGTTTGAGTATTTTCATGGAAAATTCGAGCATCGATAGCAGCCGCTGATTTGCGCGCCCTCGTAATTAATGTACATATAAAACTATTCACCAAATAACTCAAGCATACATTTATCAAACCCACCTAATAAATTATTAGCCGCCGTAACTGCATGAATATCACCGGTTAAATGCAAATTAAACTCGTCCATCGGGATTACTTGTGAATACCCGCCACCCGCTGCACCTCCTTTGATACCAAAAGTGGGTCCTTGTGATGGTTGGCGTACACACGCGAAGGCTATTTTACCTAGTTGAGAGCCGAGCGCTTGTGAAATGCCTATCGTTGTGGTGGATTTGCCTTCACCGAGTGGTGTTGGTGTTATTCTATATGTACGTGAAAAAAAAATAAATTTGTGTATATTGAAGAAATCTGAATATGAAAATAATAAAGATAATATTTTACCCAGTTACTACAATATATTTTCCATTTTTCCTGGTCTTTAAGCGGTCTAATACGTTCAAATTAATTTTGGCTTTATATTGACCATACAGCTCATACTGTCAACAAAGTATTAATTATTTTTCATTTAATTAAAAAAAAAGCACTAAGATTAAAATCACCTCATTCCCAGCCAACCCCAATTCTTCAACCAAAACCTTTATCGGTTTCGGGGTCTGCGACGAAGCAATATCTATGTCACTAGGGACAGGCATAAACAGATTTAGAGGTAGATTGGTAATATGTCTTTCCCTACTCTCTTTCCAGAATCTTTTGGCACTTTCGACTGTATTATACAACAACATGGCCACCGTCATTGGACCCACTCCACCTGGGACTGGAGTTATGTGCGATGCGACTTTGGAAACGCTCGAGAATTCTACGTCGCCAACCCAGCGCATTCCACTTTTTTTGGATTGATCTAGGTGATCATTTTATTTTTTTTTTAGTGGTTCGAAAAATCAATATTTATGATGTTTTCTCTAATAGAGATACCTTCAACAGCATTAGTTCCAACATCAATAACAACAGCTCCCGGTTTCACCCAATCCCCTTTAACATATTCTGCTTTGCCGATAGCAACGATAAGAATATCGGCTGTTTTCGTCTATGAAATATTTTTGTTATGTGTATAGAGAGAAAAAAACATTTTTTTCTAATGAGAATTAAATTCTACTACATACAATCTCCGGAAGATTATCAGTCTTTGAATGACATAGCGTGACAGTTGCATCTGCTCGTGAGAGAAGTGTAAATACTGGGAATCCCTGATGTCATAAGTTTTAGTTGTAATTATAAGTTAATCAAATATTGAAACAAAAAAAGAATATTTTACATAATTTCATACCACTATATCACTACGGCCTACTACAACAGCACGTTTCCCAGAAATCTGGATTCCTATATGTATAATCCTTGGAATTAAAAGAAATAATCATAACGTTTATTCTCGAAATTATATTACAAACCAGTTCGATTCAACAATTCTATAATCCCTTTCGGAGTACACGGCGTAAACAACGGGCTACTATTGCGTTTTGAAAGGTTGCCAATATTATGCGCATGGAAACTGCGATTAGAAACAAATCAGTTAATCAACTATACACAGAAAAAAGTATTTTTAAGTGCTAGTCAATGAAAAGAAAGAAATACCCATCAACGTCTTTCTTGGGACTAATAGTTTCTGTTATGAATTTTTCGTTAATGTGGTCAGGAAGCGGAAGTTGAACAAGCAGACCGTGTATAGAGGGATCATTGTTGAATTCTTGCACAGCTCTCAAAAGCTAAGAAACATAAAAAAACTCATATTCAACATTAAAATGTATTAAAGCATCGTTGTACTTGTTCGGGAACAAATATTGCTATCAATGTAATAAATAATACCTCGAGCTGAGTAATAGAAGAATCTCGTTTTTGAATTGTAATGTTAATACCCGCCTAAGGAAAATATACTGTGAGTTTAAAAATATTCGAATATTAACAGCAAGCAAACAAGAAAAAGGTTTCAATTTTTACCTCATTAGCCGCCTTTTCTTTCTGCCTCACATAAACAGACGAGTCTTCGCGTGCTCCAACTTGAATAATGGCAAGGTGTGGTTTAAACCCAGGATATCTCGCTTGTAATTCTTGTACTTCAAGCTTTGCTTGGTCACGAATCGACCTAATTCAAAAAAAAGTCACGCACACTTTTATATACATATATATTAAGCGGATATACATTTTGTCTTCACTTTCATACTTTGCAATTGCTTTTCCGTCAATTAATCGCGCCATAATATTATAGTTTGCAACAAATGGGTCTGTTCTGATAATGCGCCGTTGGTAATGTACTCGTTGAAGATATAATAATGGAAGATGATGATTTATTAAAGACCGTAAATGTCGAGACTTGAATCTCGACATGTGCAAATTCTTGTAGATCACGACGCGTTTTGATTCTTTCACAATCTAATTACCAAATTAAAAAGAGTATAATTTAACATCTCACAATATCGCGTCATTGGAACCTTTTATGGGTGTCAAAGACTTAACGAAACTATTGAAACGACACGCCCCCGAGGCATTAGTCCTCAAAACAATTAACGATTTTCGTGGAAAAACCTTAGCTATTGACGCCAGTTTATTTATACGTCGCTTCGTGAAAGGCGCGCCACACAACGAAATTCACCAGTATCCCCATATTGTCGGATTCTACCATTTAACAATGTTCTTAAGACAGCACGGCATCAAACCGATATTTGTGTTTGATGGCAAACGACGTGTTAAAGAGAAACGTCAGGAACTTTTGAAACGGAAAGCATTGCGTGAAAATACTAATACAGGACTAAAGTTTGAAGAGAATCGAAAGACGAGGTTGGAAAAGTGGGAGAATGTTGTGGAGAAAATGAAGAATTTGGAGGATGCAAAAACAGAGTTTGTTACTTTAGGGATCAAGGACGTTGCGATAGAAAAATTTAAAGAATTGGAAGTAATTCATCCGGATTTAGTGTCGCCACGAGTTAGAGATTTAGTTAATCAAATTGAACTTGGAATTCGAGATACAGACTCGGAAATTACATGGGAGACACCTGTGGAATTAGAAGGAGTTACTCAACTAGAGCCAATTACTACCACTACTACGTTGTCAGAAGAGATTCCTGCTGCTAAAGAAGAACCCATTGAAGTTGCTGAAGAATCCAAAGAAGAGCCCGTTGAAATTCGAGATACAGACTCGGAAATTACATGGGAGACACCTGTGGAATTAGGAGTTACTCAACTAGAACCAATTACTACTACTACTACGCTGTCAGAAGAGATTCCAGTTGCTAAAGAAGAACCCATTGAAGTTGCTGAAGAATCCAAAGAAGAGCCCGTTGAGATTCGAGATACAGACTCGGAAATTACATGGGAGACACCTGTGGAATTAGAAGGAGTTACTCAACTAGAACCAATTACTATCACTACTACGCTGTCAGAAGAGATTCCTGTTGCTAAAGAAGAACCCATTGAAGTTGCTGAAGAATCCAAAGAAGAGCCCGTTGAAATTAGAGATACAGACTCTGAAATTACATGGGAGACGCCTGTGGAATTAGAAGGAGTCATTCAACCAGAACCAATTACTATTACTACTATGTTGTCAGAAGAGATTCCTGTTGTCGAAGAAGAACCTGTTGAAGTTGCTGTAGAGTCCGCTGAAATTAGTCAGGATGAAGCAATTATGGAAAAATTAGAAGAAATCGAAATTTCTGCGGAAGAGCCTATACAGTTAGACACAACCGATATAAACATTTTAATAATAATTCCCGAAGCATTCGAGAGATTTACAAGAGATGTACAATACTTAGATGCCGAACTCAATCAACTAGAATCTATTACTACCACTACTAAATTGCCAGAAGAGATTTCTATTACTGAAAAATCCAAGGAAGAGCCCATTGAAATTAGTAAGGATGAAGCACTTGCGGAAAAAGTCGAGGAAGTCAAAATTTCTGCGAAAGGACCTTTAAGATTAGATACAACCGACATAAACAATTTAATAATAGCTTCTATAGCATTCGAGAAGTTCATCGCTCAACAAATAGTAAAGGAAAAACCATTAACAGAAAAGGTTGAAGAGTTAGAAACCAAGGTTGAAAAAACTCCCATTTCTGAAATATTAAAGGAGTCCGTTGAAATCGACACATCCACAAAAGATGAGCAACGCTTAGATGCTGAACTTATTCAACCAGAACTATTTGTTACCACTACTACGTTGCCAGCAGAGATTTCTGTTGCTGAGGAATCCAAAGAAACACCCGTTAAAATTCGTCAGGATGAAGCAATTACGGAAAAATTTGAAGAAGTCGAAATTCCTTCGAAAGAGAGATACGTCGTCCAACAAATAACCGAGGAAAAACCAGAAACCGAAGTTGAAAAATTTTATATTCCTGAAATAACAAAAGAGCTCGTTGAAACCAATATATCCACAAAAGATGAGCATTTGAATATTGAATTCATTCTGGAGAAACCTATTTCTGATAAATCCGTTGAGGTTGAAATGCCACCATCAGACAAAGATGAGATCGAGATAATCGCAGAGCCTTCAAAAATATTGGAAGTTAGTGCACTTGATGCATCGTTGACTATGAAGACGGTTACCGAAGAATCTGCAATAGTCAAAGAAGAGGAATCTGTTGCCACCGAGGTCTTTGTGGAACCTATAGAAATTGATAAGTCTATAATACCAATAAGTGAACTTAGCGAAAGAGAAATTACAAAGACCGAAGCGTCCGAAGTTGGAGAAATTATAACGCTTCAAGAACCTAAGATAACAAAAGAAGAGGGCACCGAGGTAATGGTAAGTAAAGCTTATGAACAAGCCGAAGAACCAGTAATTGATACCGAGGTAATGATAGGTGAAGTTTATGAGCCCGCAGAAGAATCGATAATATCAGAATTCAATCAAGCTCAGGTAGTTCAAGAAACAATTGCAAAGGTACAAGAACTTGAAATCACAGTTGAAGAGAACATTCCGTTACGTAAAGAAGCGGAGGACGTAATGCAAGGCGCTTTTGAAATGGTAGAATCAATGGCACAAATGGGCGACGAAAGAAAATTCAAGGAACGACATCCGAGTTTTTCGCCCACAGAAGAAATGCTAGAATTGAAAAAAGAAGTCGAAGATATAGTCAAAGGGACACTAGATGACGTAAAAGAACTAGTAAGCACCAAAGCATACACGAAGACACAACTAAACTTTAAAAAAGTTGAATTTCATATTCTTGATACTATGGTGTCTGGTAAACCTGATGAAGATCTTGTGAGAAAAGTGAGCACCGAAAGTCATAATCTAGTGATATCGTTACAGAGACGAGTTGCACCGGTTACTCCTAAAATGATATACGAGAGTCAAGAGTTTCTACGCTCGTTAGGAATGCCATGTATAACAGTTGAGGATCATGAGGCAGAAGCTATGTGTGCAACCTTGACTGAGAATGGGATGGCTGATGCTTCGGTCACTGAGGATATGGATGCCGCGTTATTTGGTGATGGCCCATTTTTGCGATCTTTCCTATTTAGGAATAAACCTATTTTAGAAATTTCTGCTGCGCGGGCTCGTGAACAATTACAATTATCTCAAGACGCGTTTATTGATGTTTGTATTCTCTGTGGCACAGATTTTGCCGAAAAAATCAAAGGAATCGGTCCAATGAATGCCTATAGACTCGTCAAACAACACGGTTCAATCGAACGAGTCATTGAGAATCTCGATCAAAGAAAATATCCGATTAAACCGGATTTCATAGAAAAAGTCCAAGGTGCCCGAATGATATTCAAGAATCCACCGCCGTTGCAAAAACTTCGACCACAAGATCTGGAGATTAAGCCACCGAACGAAAAGATTCATTTGTTACTCGATAAATATGAGATTAATGAAAATATGGGCGCTTATGATTTCAATGAAGTCTCTTTCCATATGGACAATACTTTGTTGGGAATTGATAATAAGAGATATGAAGATGGTGAAGAGTTTGATGGTGAACGTGAAATAATTTCTCATAGTTTGGGGCCTGATCCATTCAGTGGATCTTTTGGAATGCATTCTAAATTTTGAAACGGTGGTACTTTTTAAGGTAAGAATGGTTGAGGAATATTCAATATTAATTATCCACAGACAACAGATTATATTTTAATTAATTTCCGGGATTGTCTACTACAGTTGTATATATAAATATTCAAAACTGAAGGCATTGAGGAAAAAGCGTGCGTAAAAAGCTATTTTCATATACTATATATATAAAAAAAATGCTACATTATTTAAATTTATATTACAGACTATTATTACTTTGGAAAACGCACATCCTTTTTATTCAACCAATCAATAAATTGCAGCAACATTTGTAAACTTTTGACACGGTTGCCTAATTTGTTAAATCAGCTAATTCCCCTTTATATCGGTCAAGAAACATTCTCTAGTTACCACAAACTGATGATATAGATATCGGTATTTGCAGCAGTAATCGTGGAGAAAAATTCATTTTTGACCACAAATAATGTTCATGATAAAGAAAACTTTTATCTTTCAAGGAAGATATGAAAAAATCTACCCATGAACAGGAAAGAATGTAATCACCAAAGATGCGTAAAAATAAGGAAGCCTATAGTCTCAAAGAAGCGAAAGGAATACTCAGTGCTTGACGCAAAATTCATAGAATACTCACATTTCAGAGTTAATCAATGTGTAAATATTTTTGTTATTTTCGTGCTCTTGTTCTTTTTTCTAAGTCATTTATTCTCAAGAATACGATATGATTTTCTGTGTTGTATTGAATTGCGTTAAATAATTCAAAAGGAATATGAATTTTTGTCGTAGTTGGATTAATATATTGCTATTTTTTACAAAAACGGAAACAATGGCAACCGGAATAATTTTAAGTTCCAAATGAAGAAAATTAATCATATATGAAAAACCTCTACGTTCTGGAGAAAGTCTCGTGTGTGTGTTACCAGCCCATCATCAATATTACTTCCCTCCATAAATGAATAATTCCGCGTTTACGACACCAGCAAAGTTCGGACGATCGATGCGCTCCGAATTCTTATTTGAAGAAGGCTACATTTCACTCAACCACGGTTCGTATGGAACCTTTCCAAAAAGTGTTTTTGAGGCATTCCGAAATTTTCAAGAGAGGGCCGAAAGTGCCCCGGACAAATGGTTGCGTCAAGACCTGGCACTTGAACTGGATAAAGCACGAACACAGGTTGCTGCATTTGTGAACGCAGACATTAACGAAATTGTGTTTGTGCAGAATACTACTACGGCTATTAATGCTGTGTTGAAAAGTTTGAGTTATCAAGAAGGAGATAAGGTTTTTTTTAACCTTAAAATAAAGTGCTTTTAATTCGGACATTATAATCAACTCTTATGTTTTATTTAGTTGTTGTTTTTTTCGACTGCTTACAAAGCAATTAGAGAATTGTTGTACTTTATTCGAGACACAAACGGCGGGAAAGTCTCACTGATTGAGATTGAGGTCACTTATCCTATAAGCGATGATGACTTAATAGCACAAATCACAAAAAGAATAGAAGCGGAACATCAAAATCCAAAATCTCGAATAAAGTTAGCAGTAATTGATGCAATCTCGTCTAATCCTGGTTTGTTATCTCTTTCTCCTGGACTAAAGCCTTACCGAAAACTGCGAATTAAAACTGAATATCCCGAATTATTATTAGGTGTCATTGTCCCATTTCAACGTATAATCCCACTCCTAAAACAGCATAACATCCTTTCGGTAATCGATGGTGCGCACTCGATTGGTCAAATACCATTAAACTTAAGAGCCCTCGATCCGGATTATTTTGCTACAAATTGTCACAAGTGGTTGTATACCGTTCGAGGATCGGCTATTTTATACGCTCCGTTTAGGAATCAACGTGGTTTGCATCATCCGATAACTAGCGCGTTTTATCCCCAAGGATTTGTGGATGAATTCAGTTGGGTTGGAACACAAGATTTTAGGTTTGTATCGGAATATTTTAATAACTATGATTAATTTTTAATAAGCATAAGAATTTGAGTAACGAGAAATAAAGTATATCTATCGATCTAACGTCAGTAATAGGAATCCTCAGAACAAATTACTATTCTTTTATTTTGAATATCTTAGCATTATCATCACTTAGTGGTCTCTCATGTATTTTACTCGCTTCTTCCCTTAATTTGCCGCACCAAAAAAAATAGCTCCTACTTAACCATCACTGCCGCACTTGAATTCCGTCAAAAAATAGGCGGCGAGGCACTAATCCAACAATACTGCCACCGCCTAGCATGGGAAGGCGGATGTCTAGTAGCTTCGATTCTCGGCACGGAAGTAATGGGTCCCGAGAGTCTAGTTGCTCATATGGTAAATGTGCGACTTCCCGTGCAGGATACTCCTGGAGTACGACAGTTTGTGGAAACGCAATTCCTCAAGATCTTATTCAAAAAGTATAATTGCGCTGTGGTGGTATTTGAGCATGGTGGCATTTGGTGGGTAAGGTTAAGTGCACAAATTTATAATGATTTAAGCGATTTTGATTATGTGGGAAAGACGCTGAAAGAAATATTTAGTGATGGGTTAATTGTAAATTCGAGTAAATTGTAAAGTATGTTTTTCGTTTAATCATTTATGTCAATATTTTACATATTTATTAACTGTTTGCAATTATAATATGTGGAAATAAAATAATGAGTTCGCCAACCATGTGTGACTGCAGATTAAGGGATATGAACAAAATTATTTGGAGTTGAAATTTCACTAATTAAAAATATTCATATAGATCACTTAATTTCTTTAGAATGACAATATTAATATGGCATGTTTGTGATTGGAAATTATTCTACAAGGAAATTTTTTTATCTTGAATTAAAGAATAAATAAGTTCTATTTTAAGCAACAAATATTTGAATTAGATAATTTTTCGTTTTTATTTTTGATCTTCCTCTTCTTCCTCTTCCTCTCCGGTAGTCTCTGCTAAAATCGGAACTGGTTGTGTGTGCTTATATGCTTTTTAAATGAATATTAAAAGGAGCAATAAGTAAATACAATTAACTTGACGAAAACAAATAACTGAAAGTTGTGTGTTTTAACATTACCTGTTCCTATCCATTTTGGATCAGCTAAAAAATATGAAACATTTAAGTTTTTATTGCGAATATATACATATAACCAAACTAAAAGAAATCAAATAAGGAGAAATCAACATACTTTCAGATACCGTGGCATATTTCAATAATGCTTCACGTGGATCCTCATCTAATGTGATGTTTAATACGTATAAGTATAAAGCACAAACATCCAATAACACCAAATACCACTTCAGCAAAAAAGAAAACCAACCTCTTGTCGTATCTCTTATCAAATCTTTCATAATATGTTGCGTTAAACTGCTACCGATTTTTCCCCCTTTACCAGGTCCACTAACAGGCAAATCTACCAAAAAAAAAAAGCCCCCACCGTCATTACCTTTAGAAACATCACATTCATAAAACCAATTAGCATTCAAAAAAAAATTTACCAGGTCTCCTGGAAGCAATCGGATCTTTACGAAGTTTCTCTCGTTTTCTTTTTGTCGTTTTCGGTCTATCATCTCGAAATAGAGCCAACGAGTGTGGCGCAATGATCGGTCGATTGATCTCAAATTCATCAATCGCTCGTTTCTTTGCCTCTTTGACGACACAGAGCTTTGCTCCTCGAACGCTTACATTCGGATCGTAAAATACGTGAGCGGCGCCGTCAGCGCTTCCTGTTATGATCTTTTTACCATGGGAAAGAATTGAGAATTATGTAAGAAAAGAGAAAAATGAGTATTCGGTGCGAATTCATACCTGATTTATTCTAGAGTGCCATAATACTCGTATTACACTGGATTGTGTTATACCTGAATATTTACATTACATCAATAAAATTTTTCTTAAAACGCTTGAGCAAAAATTTTAATCTATTTCAAAATGATAGCCTTACTCATTGTCCGAATAATTTGTAGAGAGTCACGATCCATCATTACGAGTTTTCCGTAACCTTCCCCCTTTTTAACCGCAGTGCCTATTATTAACTATAATAAGTACTTTACAAGAAGAAATTAATATGGAAAATCTAAAAAAAGATCATCATTACCAGTTATTATTAGACGTTCATCCGGACTAAATATCGCGTTAGTTTCGGGATTATAACTTGGAAGATCACTCGCCACCGATACAGCACTCTTAAAATTTCTCGTATCCCATACTAAAGAAAAATAATTATATATAAACACTCGAGAATTAAAAAAAAATTATTTGGGTTTAAAAAATAAAGAAACCTTTGACGGTATCGTCGCCGCCTCTTGTAACTATTGTCCAATTATTACGCGAAAATATTATTGAGGATGTTTCACTGTGTGGTGAATGTGCCTTTTCTATAGTCTATTGAAGCATTTATTAATGAGATTAATAATATTAATAATAATGATAATTATTCTGGTAATTCTTGTAGAATACTCACGTGCGAAGGACGAGCATATGGTCCATTTGCAGGCCAGAGACACAAGTTGCCATCTTGGGCAGCTAAACAAATAATGCATTTAAGATACCAAATGCGATTATTGAATTAAAAACTATAGTTATACTATATCATATATTTACCAGCAGCGATTAATTTAGCATCGGGACTATATGCAACTGCCGTGACTATAGTCCTACCGCCACGTTCTTTAGTTTTAAACACAATAACTTGTTTCTGTTTACGCTTATTTTCCACATCCCATAATCTACGAGAAGAGCAGAAAATTAAAGAGATGTTTATATGAAACCCAAGCCAAATGTAAAGTATCATAAATTGATATATATTATCTAACTTAGTACCTTATCGTGCTATCAGCAGAGGCTGTAAAAAAGCATTTTTTATCATGTGGATGCCATCCTCCAGATGTTAATGCAGCCACGTGTCCACTAATCGATCAAGATTGGTAATTAATTAAAAAATCGTTTCATAAAAACCAATAATTATGCGAAAGATATATCAACCTTGTATTTCTCATATCACGTATATAAGGATCACCCTTAATATACTCTTCGCTGATTAAATAGAATAGAATTAATTACTAAAAATAAGAATGAATTTCACATAAAGGCCTCACATTTCGAATCCATCTCGATCATATAATTTTGGTCGTGCAGAACCGGAAATAATCAAGAACTGGTCACCACTTAAACTATATTCGATATGATGAATCTATACATTAAAATCAATAATATGAGACCTTCTGCAGTTTTACATATAATCAAGTATAAAAATAAAACATACTTGGTGATCACCACACGGACGAAGACTACGAAATGGACGCAAGCTAGAATCCATTCCTGCAAAATCCCAAAACTTTATGTCATAATCATAGCTTCCGGTGATCAACCGCGCGCCAGCAGGATCAAGAGCCAATGCTGTAATGCTCTAAAAATAACAATTGCTTTGTGTTAAAACATTCTACGACATCCATTGTCCAAATGAGAACAAAGATAACAGTCAACCTTAAAATGGTCATTTAATTTAATTTCATGTGAAATAGGCAACGTGCTCAAAAGATTATCTTCCTCTGCACTTTCTGTTTTATCATCATAATTATCATCATCATCATCATCATCATCATCATCATCATTGTCACTATCATCTTCAAAACGCTCTCCAGATGGCTGACTCGTCTCAGTTCTGATACGCTTGCCTTTTGATGGAGAATCAAATTCAGTCGGAAGTGATCCAATTTCCACATTCTAACTCAAGTTGAACTA